AATGAGACTGACTAATGAGCTGGTTCCGTTAATCTGTATAGCAGTACGTGAAACTGCTCCAGAAGTAACTGCAAGCGGGACCGACCGTACAATTCCGGGCAAATTTAATATGAATACAATATAAAACCTGGAACTACGCGTCTTATTCAACGACGCATTTATACAGAAAATGAAACAAAATTTTTCAAATATGATACATAATTTATTCTTAAACATTCTTATTTAGCCTCCCAATGCTACTCGAGTAAACATTTATGTGATAAGTCTGTTGCAAAAACTGTCGGCAGTTGCGTCGTCGTACGCATTTAGTTAGCTGACTTTAGAAATATTGTTACGGTGAACTGAGATCAATAAGATTTACTGTCCAAATTAAAAGGGAGATAGTACAGAATTACTGACGTCAGCAGCATAATGCTTTCTAAGAAAGTTTAGACTATGCAGCCCAATATGTTAGTGTAAACAAGGGCAAATTAACTTCAATACATTAACTCCAAGTATAAATTTTAATCTTATAATAATACTGTTACGGATTTTGTATTTAATTTGCTATTTTTAGGAGAATTATGATTAAAATTATTTTATATCCCCGTGCAGTGCATCACGAGACTTATTTGATGAGAAAGCTAAGCGGGAAAAATTAAAATGCAGGAGCACGCGCATTTAACATTTTAATAAAAAGATATCTCGTAATTGTACTCTTTTGCTATCCAGATAAATCGAGAAAATTACGAGAATGTTCTCGTGCATGATTAAAAAACTTAGCAGAAGGAAAAAATCTCAATTCCGTTGTTTACTTAGTGATGTTATTGATTGTAGCGAATTCGCGGTGATATCGGATTAGCTTTCCCTGTGTTTTTGAATTGAGTTCTATTTACATTTTAATAGTTCAAAATATAACTACTGTGAGATATTGCGATACTGTACGAAGACCTCTGAGAAAATTTCAGCATTTTGTTTTATTTCTTGGGATAAGAATAGATTTTATTAACTTTTTATAGACTTGGGCATTAAATTTATTACGAACCAATATATATATATATATATAATTTATTTCTATATATATATATATAGTGCTGTAAAACATTAGCAATTTTGAGAAAAAAATTAATGTTATTAATTCTTAGTTCAGCTGGATTGTTAATAACATAAAATTCTTCGGGTACTTCTTAATATGTTCCAAATTTTAAATTTAATAACTAAGTTCTTTCTTAAAAATGAATTTCTAAATTTTCATAGCTAACTTGGCTCCTCTGCTAGCTATTAACCTGAAGCCAGTGCTTCACTCTTTTCACGGCTCTAACTACTCCACCTGTAAAACTCCCTGAAAATCATCTTAAAGCAATATCCGCCTTACTTTATTCTTTCCAGATTTAAAAAAAAAAAAAAAAAAAAAAAATGAAAGATTGCACCATTTTCACCCTTTATGTGTATAGCAGTTTGTGATTTGAATGAAAATAAGGTATAATTTACTGAACTACCCGAGTCTCCTTCAGCGAAGTGCTCTAGTCGACGACAACGTCGCCACCTTATTCTAAAGGTACGGGCAACTTTATTAAAATTCAGCGTTTTTGACTGTGGATAAGATGCAGGCACTTTATCCACAGTCCTGGACTTCCTAAAGATGCTAAAGTAAAAATCGGACTTGCAGCTTCCTAAAGTAAAAATCGGACTTGAAGAAGGATGCTCTAGCATAAAGATAGGTCCACCTTAAGATCAGTTTCTAACTTGAAAAAAGACATCCGATACCCCAGCATAAGGTCGCCTTTTTCAAGAAGGAAACTGACCTTCAGTTTCTGTGCCCTCGCTTATTACCTAAAGAGGAACCGCAATGAAGGTTTGTATTTTCGAACAGCGGTCACCTTATATAAGGGTGCTTTCACCCTTATGAAAGCATCCGAGAAACCCCATGAAAACAAACCGTTCACCGGGAATCGAATCGAATGCGAAATACTAGGGCCAAGCACGTTTTTTGTTGTTATCCATATTTTAAAATCCCAAAATTTTTACAAAAAATGCTCCGCCTCCAGCAATGTCTGCATTTTACGAATGGCCTACTTTTACTTTCAAGGAATAAAAAAATGAATACCCGAATCCATTTCTTTTTGTCATATTAACAGAAAATGCATGATTATCAATCGCACTTATAATACTTACACAATGCAATTTCGTAAAATTATCTCGTATGTAATAGCTGGTAACTGTACAACTAACCAATCAGAAGAAGTGAATAAACCATATCAACAAAAACTACTTCGGCACGAATTTCTTTTGTCCCCAACACTTTTTAAAGGAAGACTTACGGCATAAAACTTTCAAGGTCAAAGTATTACGCAAGGTTTACCGCCGATGTGCAAATTTCTGATTCTTCCAGCAAGGAAAAACTAAGATATAAGATGGCATTTGTTACGTCATCTTTTATCGCTGCGGTTTCCAAGCGGTCTTCCTTTTTTTTTTTTTTTTTTTTTTAAGGTCGCCTGGAAGCTTAAGCTTCTGTATATAGGTTATCGTGTACATTGCGAAGAGAAACAATAATTTTAGTAATATCAGTTCCATAAATGTTTACTCAAATTAGAAATGGATGCAAACGTAAAAATACCTTGTAACTATCAAATAAATACCCAAGCTAGTTAATATGATCAGTAAACGGAAGAAATTGATGCCGTCTCTTACCTAAATGAAAGGATTAAAAAAGAAAAAAGAACAGTTTTAAAAATTTCATCAAATAATATTCTAACAGTATAATTATTGAAGGCGACTGGCGTTAATGGCAGAATTTAATATTATATTTACTTAATATATTTCATTTTGAAATATAATTAAAAAATCAGTAAAATACACTTCACAGTGAAGGAACAAAATGAAAAATTCCCATAATCAATTTGCTTATCTTCCTCTTTTGGAACATTTTATCTGGCGCCCAACTTAATCAGCAAAGAGAGTTCCATACTGCTCTCCCTCTTAGCTAATAAAGAATTATTTCGCACACTCCCATTTTCTTGGCAGTGTATAGCTCTCCCTTGTGATTGTGATTAACTTACAATCTGGTGATTGTATTTAACATCTTATTAATATAATCAACAATACAGATAGCTATCTTTGTAATTTCTTAGACATATTAACAAAGACATAAAAGCGTTTATAAGAGCCAAATTAATGCAATTTACAATTCCTCAGTTCATACAACTTTTTCAATATTTCTGTTTTCTGACCTTCCAAAAATAGCATTTAGCAACAAGTACCATATTTACCTCAAAATAAGCTTCCTGTATTTTTGCTATATTTTGTTCTATAATTTGGTAAGGTCTTATAATCAGGTATTTGTAATAAATGAAATTGCAGAATGAAAGTAAGCTTTATTATCATACCAAATATAACAATTATACTGTTTAAATGCTAAATAAATCCCACAAGTAATTACCATGTATATAAACTACATAAGGGGCATTACTCATAACAATTACATATATATGACTAATTTCATATTAAGTCTACATCCATTATACTAATCACTGCAATGCCTGAAAACACATGAGTAATAATGTATCAACTTTCTCTAATTTTCCTGCATTTTAATTTCTCAATAAATTACCCTAAAATTTATAAGAAAGGTTTTATTTTCAAGTAACAGCATATGTTCCTCCCAATTCGAAATTTTCAACTACTGACAGACAATGTTCTTTTTTTACCCTTATCCCTCTTCCAATAATTCAGTCACTGATTAACATGATAAAAGAAACAAAACATAAATCACCAGGTTTTTCACTACTTTCTTTAAATTATTTGTATTTTTCTCATCCTGACATATTGTTTTTTTTTTTTTTTTTTTTGGGGGGGGGGGGTCTTCCTACTTTACTTCAGTTATGTTTCTCAACATGTTCAAGATACACTGCTACTTCCACTAGCATACCACACCTTGAGGCGGTTGCATATAAACAGTAGTAAAAATAAAATTTCATCGCGGTTGCAGATAAACAGTAGTAAAAATAAAATTTCATTGCTCTTCCAGTAATGTAGTTTCTGGCTATTTTCATAAGAATGAAAAGGCATTTAAAAATTGCTTGATTTAATTTTGAAAAGGCTTTTATGACAGAAAAATCTTAATTTATAATTTTTTAACATAAAATTACACTAACTCCATTACACACATTGCCTGGAAAAATGATGATGGATCTTGATATGTTAATAACGGTAATGCATTTAGAACTCATCCATTTTTACAGAAGTTATTGGCTAGCATACCTTCTGAAAAGAATAAGTATTTTTGTAAATACCTCTTTAACAGTAACAGCATATTTAACAGATTAGTGATTAAATTATCTTCACTTTTAATATTTTGCTGAAGCATAGACATCACATATTATTTTATCTTTTTTGTTTCACCCCATACTGAGTAAATTTCGGTGTCTCAGCAGCAAACGTATAGCATTTTGTATTAAACGAATGATGTGTATTATTTGAAAAATAGAAAATGAATTTAGCTAAACTGCTATTTACCCAGACTAGAGTTCCTTCAAATACACAGTTGGTGTCATAACAGAAAAGTGAGACTTGATAATTTCTCCTCACAGAAAAAAAAATGTGAACATGAGGAAAAAGTTAGTAAAGGCCAAACATAAGCTCATTAAAGAAGCAATGTTGAAGTGGTTCATCATTCCAGTAAGCCACAATCTGGATAAATGCTAATTATACAAATGTGTTTTAGATACAGATGTATAATTAGGATGGGTTTAAGCAATGACTTGAGCATGACAAGACTTAGTCAGCTTTTTTTTTTTTTTTTTTTTGTGACTCATTAATCATTTATCCTATTTTTTGTGAGATGATCCATTTCTCTCCATCAGATCTGATAAACTTTTAGTTCCTCAATACTGGAGTTATCTGCTATGTAAATTCTGAACTTTCTTCTTAATTAAAACTTGGCAATTTTAGTGCTGTTTAAATAACTAAGAAAATCATAATAAGAATGTAACAATATAAATTCCAAGAGTTTTAAAACTTACCCTATTGCTTTCCAGGGCCTCTGATGAATGTGCATCTTTTCCTCGAAAGCAATTTTGACATTTGCTTTTATTGAATATATTCGGGGAAAATTTTCTGCACTCTGTTTTCAGGGAAGTCATTTTTATGCACACATCCTTTATAATTTTCCTGAAAAAATAAAGTCAGCAAAATATCATTAACTGAAGAGAAAACAAGAATTAAACAGAAAAATAAGACAGAAATATTATATTACATCATTAAACTTAATTATGTTTTCATTAAGTTAAATTTTGATGTAAAACAGAAATTTCTTCAATTTTAATTTATAAAACTATAGTTTTAAGCACTACAATAAAATGCATTGATACAAGAATGCCAATCAATGCCATTCCAACACTAAAGCAAGTTTACCAATTTTATAATTTTCTTTAGATTTTTAATAAATTTATGTTCCTGTAGAGGCATATGTTTGTTTCTCTTCCTAGCAAGAAATGAGGAAAATCAAATTCGCTCTTAAAGGATTCAAATCATAGAACTTCCACCTGCCAAATGGGCATGGCAACCACTTCCATCATGACACAGCAGAATGCAACAATTCTTTATATTCCCTTCTGCTTAAAGAGTGATCGAGAAAAATCATATTCTAGGAACTGATGAGTTACAAATTAGATTGTATTTCAGTTAGTTGCTGAGCATCTGTAATCTGCAATAAAAAAAATCCCTAAAAATTTCTCCACAAAACTACTGACTTAATCAGAATCAAAACCCATCAATTGTCAAGCTGCAGTAAGAAATAAAGAAATAAATTACATAGAATTAATATAGAATTATTAACATACAAACACACATATTTTTATTTATGTGTTGAAGAGAAATTTAATGAACAGGAGAAAGGGACTAGGTTGTCATTATTTATTTTCAAACTTTAACCCACTTGGAAATTTTTTTTAAAAAACTTTGAAATTTTTTACAATTTTCTTTTTTTTTTTTTAGTTTAAATTAAAAATAAGCTATTAATGATTAATTAAAGATATTAGAATTATTTTAAATAAATGTCATTTTGAAAATTTAATATTCAGTTATCTATATTTGAATAATACAGTGTAACCAACAAAGTATCTTGAAGGTACCAAACTTTAGATTCAGATAGAAAATTTGAACTTTTTTCCCTATGTGATATCATATGGTATTTAATTATTATCCCACTGTTCATGAAGTTGTCGCTAAGCTGTGCAATTTCCTGCCATTCAGAAACGTCCTGGGAGATGGTGTGAGCACTCTCGGGTCTCTGATGAACCTTAAGTTTTCAAGTGTATGTACCCTTAAATAGGAATAATAAAAAAATAATAATAAAAAAATAAAAAAAAAGACAAAGCTAAAAAGTGGTCTGCATTGAAAATATTAAAGTTTATTGTGGAAATGGACTCTCAAGAATAGGTCCCTAACTTATATTTGGCATTAAAGACTTTTTCATGAGTGTGTGTTTCAGATGCTTCTTGCAAAATGCTTTTGAAAGTTGAAATTGATTAAAAGTTATCTTTGATCAACAATGAGCCAAGTAAGACTTAACCATTTGGGAATCCTTTCTATTGAAAATGCAGTAGCTAAAAAACACATTAATTTTGACAAAGCTATAAAAAATTTTAGAAGTCAAATGTTGCAAAAAAACAGTTTTACTTCTTTTTATTTTACAGGAAAGTTAATTTTTTTTTAAATCATCAAAAATGGCAGATTAATAAACCTTTTTAAATATATGTTTGCTGCAACATGTACGTTGTTTTTCTTTAGTTTTAAGATTTTTTGTTTTGAAAAGCATTTTAACTATTTAATTTTAAATAGATAAATATTAATTGTGCATTTGTACCAACATTTTGCATGATCATTTCAATAAGGGAGGTCTAGGGGCATTTCCCATCCAGGCCCTTGATAACTGTAGGTCAGGCACAGGTGCCAGTTATGGATAGGCATAATGTAACAGCACATTCAAACATTGGAGTTCTTGTTATACATAACCTCAATTGATTCTCGATACGCCATCTTTAATTTTATGAAGAAGGATATAAATTAACTGTTACTGTTCTGTTTTTTCTTGCATATAGAAAGAAGTTATTAAAAATTTTAACTGACTTCTACAATACAGTAAATAGTTAATTATTTTCCAAGTTATGTGATCCTATCTTTATAAAAATTGTGTATTAATAAACATAAGATCAGCTAAATATGGACGATAAAAATAGTGATAGATCGGAATTCTTACCCAAGGGCAGTTTACACTCATAGCACTTTAAACGGAAGTTCTGGTAAAATTGGAGGGCCTAATAAAATAGTAAAAATTTTAAAAAAAACCTTTTAACAAAGCATAAAAAAATGGGTTGAATACTGATCTTTTATCAAACAAAGAGGCATCAATTCCTTCAAAATTCCACATGAACGATTGACACAATTTATGAGAAATCTCTGCCACCTTTCCAGGTTCGATGGTAGCCAACTTTCATGGTTGGCAAGATAATGAGTAAAAACCTAGTACTATTATTGTTTATGCACATTTTGATAAATATTTAGTAATCACAATTTTTTATTTAAGATATTTATTTTGTTAAAATAAATACTTTGATTTTGTTAAAAAAAATTCTGGACGTCAGCTGTCTTCAGATTGTGCTTTCAACAAACATGAAATTTGAATTTCAGACTACTGATATATAAAAGAACATAATGTGACGGTTGATAAATTATTTAAATGTTTACTCCTAAAAAGTAATTGTTAATTATAAAAAAATAGTAGGATAGAGGAGATGGTGGTGGGAAGTGTGAACATATGCACATGAAAAAAGGTATGTTAAAAAATTGACGTTTCATTCATTTATTTGTCTCTGTGTGTTCATTTTTGTTAAAAGATTTATTTTTAATGTTTTTATGTTAGGAAATATGTATTTTTGGTTATTTATTACTCTCTGTTTGTGTATTTTTTGGTATTTGTTCATGTCTGTGTGTTAAGACAGCAGTAAACTTGATAGTTTTAACTTTGTTTTAGCATCCTGATTTTTGCTTAAATGAACTTAGATCGATGTGTACATGGAAAAGTTAAGGCAGTGCACAATGCCTAGTTTGTGCAATTCTCTGATTTTTCCTTTAAGTTAAAATAGGTCAATGTGTACATGGACACCGAGTTTGTGAAAGCCTTTGACTTCTTCTTTTGGTTTTGTGTAGCAGGTGGAAGCATTGGCACCACCTTGAAATTGGTGCCAATTCCTTACGGGCACCGATCTTGGCATCAAAAAAGAGATATTCTTCAAGGGGTACCGGACAGTAAATTTTAACCATATACACACTTTTGCAAAAAAATCAAAGCACCATGAAGGAAGTGGTTGTTTTTGATGAAATTGAATATGTGTATAGTTCATACACAGATAATAAAATTATTAAAAAATCAAGGTCATAGTACCTGCTCATGGTTCACAATCACCCATTGAGTGTTCAAATTAGTAGTTGGTCAAACCACCCCTGGCAGCAATGCATGCTTGAATTCGCAAGGCAAGGAGTAGTAGAGGTTCCTAATGTCATCCTGCGACACATTCTGCCAGCCATCAGTTGTCGCTCCAGATCTGCAATATTTTCTACGGTCCGAACCATGTCTCAAACATGCTCGACTGGTGAAAAGTCTGGTGACCTTGCTGGCCAAGGAAGAGTATCAACCGCACAGTGACAGTCCAGAGATATGCGAGTGGTATGTGGCCAGGCATTATCTCGTTGGAAAATGACCCCAGAATAACATGCCATGAAGGGTAATGCAACCGGCCGCAGGATGGTACAGAGGATGACTAAAGATAACCTGCTGTCATCAGAAATAGAGCCCTACATCATCACACCAGGGGTTATGGCTGAATGCCTTTGTAAAACAAAGGCTGATTGGGACCGCTGGCCCCGTCCTCTCCAGACACGAACACGGTGGTCATCTGTTTAAAGAGTGAAGTTGAATTCATCGCTGAACACTATACGATGCCAGTCTGATGGCAGCCATGATGATCAGCTGTGACATTACTCCAGACTACTTCACCGATGTTGTGGGGTCAAAGGCAAACGTCTTAAGGCCTCTGTTAGTGTAACCCTGCCTCAGACAAGCGCCGTGAGATGGTAGACATAGACGTGGCTGTAGTGCATTGAATAGTCGACAATCATACAGTTGGGGCGGTCCAGGCCTGGAGAACAATCATCCTATCTTGCCTCGCATTTGTGATCCTTGGCCTTCTAGAGCCTTCATTTCATCGACAATTTCCTTGTAGCAACCACTGCTGCCAACATCTTTTCACAGCAGTGTCTGTACACTGCAGGTGGCGGCCTATTGCTCGGGATGGCCACCCGGCTTCACGTAACCCTACAATGTGAAACATTCGAAGTTGTTTAGTTATCTGTAAGGTCTTCGATATCGTCGTAATGACATCTTTAGTTGCTTCTTTACGGGATTACAATGGCAGCAACAAAAAAAGATAAATTTTCCACCTCTGACACTGGTTTTATACTTTGCAAATTGCGCACTAGAAATGTGTGCTATGATCGTTATCCCTGTTCATTTTCCTTGAAACTTTGAGCATTTGCATTTCCGATCAAGATGTTTTTGCATACCAAATTTCATCACAATCACAAAAGTCCTTTTTGGTGCTTCGATTTTTTTGCAAAAGTTTGTATTTGTATAACATGCATTGTTATGGTTTAGGATATTTGATAAATTATGCAAGACATCACCATAATTAAATAAATTAATGCTAAAGTATTCTGCCCAATAGAATGAATTATGTGCTGAATTACTAATAAATTAAGGTGAAATATATTGATTGTACATTAGTCTCTTAAATATAAAGTAAAAGATTATGATATTTTAACTTTATCCACATGAGAAATAAAATGGAGTTCTTGTACTGTACAGCACAATACCCTATTTTTATGAATGACAAAAATAAAAATGATTCATTTTCCTAGTATGCATAAGCACATGAATAGCTTCCTAATAATTGTGAGTCCAGGGTCCCTACTGAGGTTAATATAAATTTAAACGGGAGGAGAGGAGCAATAACATAATACTAGTGAGAAAAAGGCCAATGCCAAAAGCAAAAAGGCACAGATATTGAAAATTCACTGTCCCTTCTTAGCATTCCCAGCAATGTGTTTTGATA